GACCAGATCCGATAGCACTGGCTATGAATGTTTTCTCCAAGGAATTACGATTTTCTGCCCTTTGCACTGATTCCCTGTTGCCTTTCCATATACATCGCCAGTCCGGCACCTGATGATCGTGGTTCCTCTATCGCCGTCCCAACCATAGTTCTCTCCTCTTCAGGAGATGGTTATCAACCGTCCATCGCTCGAGTGCCTTCTTCAAGATCCAGACGGTGTACCTCATCCCCTTTTTCTCCAAGGTCTCTTGCATCTCATAGTGTAGTCTATTTCAGGGAACCTTGGTCGGTCAAGGGAGTTTCACAATCAACTCCCCAACTTATCAAGGGTGCACCCAACACGAGACAGGCTTATAAATCTGCTTGGAGCAGATGGCATAGTTGGTGCATGAAATTAAATTTAAATCCCATATCGGCTCCTTTTAAGTCTGTCCTCCATTTTTCTGACTTCTATGATGAAGGTAAAGCCTATCGCACTGTGGACCTTAACAATCGTCCATTTCTGCTGGCCATCAAAGTTTCGATTGGACGCCTGTCGGTTGACATCCTGTCATATATTGACTTCTCTGAGAAATATGGTTTGCTCATCCACCCTTACCATGATACTCTGTCTTGTGGGACGTCTCTATTGTCTTGAATCTTTTACTTGCAAGAGGTTTTTTCTGACGTACTAGCTCTTGAGGTGGTTGCTTGTTCCTTTACTCCAGAAGGAGTCCTCTTTGACATTTCACGGAGGACAAAAACCTCCTCTAAAATCAATTTTACCCAGTTTTCCCTGATAGATCTCTCCTTTGCCCTGTTGCATACTAATGGGTGTGTGAACATCGTTCTACAACGTTACTACGAATCCTTTGAAACAGGAACTCTTCATCTCCTTCCAAAAGTCACATCTTCCGGTGTCTACTCTAGCCTGGTGGGTCAAATACGTTATGTCTCTAGCAGGTATTGATACCTATGTGTCTGTGCCTCATTCGGTTCGTGGGGCAATGGCTTCTAAGGCTTCCACGATTGGTTGTCGCATGGAGGATATGAGAGCAGCTGGTCTTTGGAGTCTACATTCCATGATTTCTACTTTCACGCCAGAGTTTGACCAACTCATGCTGGCCTTTAAGGAGCAAAGGGACGACCCGCACAAAGGGGTCGAGAAGCTTTAAAGGGGCACAAGACAAGCTCCTGGACAAGATGGGGCCACTGGCCCATGTGATATACCCGGCGAATGAAGCTTACGCCAGAGCAGACTCATTTCCTGCGGACATGGTGCGTGAATGGGCACATGATATTCAAGAACGGACCCAGAGGGGTTTCTGCTTTCTCGAGAATACCAATACGGCCCTCTCAGAGCGGTGTCGCGTAGCACTTTTCCGCATTGACCCCAAAAAGACCGATCTGGGGGTAAAAGAATTGGGCCCACAGGCACAGGGTACAATTTTGGTGAGGCATTTATGAAAGAGCTGAATAAGCAAGTTAACGGGTTCACCTCGCTGAACAGAGCCACACACCCACGTGCAAGGTCTTCAGGGACAACCCTTCAAGGGGGGTTTTCTCCCAGGGCTGATCGGCAACGGGCCGTGCAACCAGCCGATTCGGGCCATCAGACCCCATATGGGACACCCACAGCAGTTTACCTGCAACAAGCTTGCCAGCATACCGGCTCTAAACAACACTACCCCTACTACCAAAGGGGCACAGACAGAGGACGGGGTGGTCGCGGATATACCCGCGCAAGAGTCCCCAGAGGTAAGAGACCAACACTTATCAAGGTCTCAACTAAACATGACTGCCGGACGTTTTTCTCTTTGTTCCCAGAATTGGGCAAAACTACCTACAGATGCTATGGGTGTTACAGAAGGTCAATGGGCACCACATCGAATTATGAACGTTCCCCGTGCAGAGGTATCCTCCTCGTCCCTTATACCTCTCAACTTCGGACGCTCACCTCATAGAAGTGGAGCTCCGCGAACAATGCGTAAAGGGCGCTATACAACCCATGTGCAAACAAGGGGGCTTCTTCAGCATCATGTTCCTTGCCCGCAAGAAAACCGGGATTTCAGATCGCCCAGGTGACCTACCGCCACTTCAAATTGGTAGCCATACACTTACTAAGGGACCTCTTTCAAGAAGGGCACTGGTTTACGTGTCTAGATTTCAAGGACACATACCGGTCGATCCCAATTCACAAAGTCAGCTGCCCCTTCCTTCGGTTACTGTGGCACGGCTTCCCATGGCAATTCACTTGCCTCCCTCTCGAACTAAACTCCGCACCAGGGTACTTCACCAAAATGTTGAGACCAGGGGCAACACCTCAGAACGCGGGGGATCAGATGTATCACTTAGCCGGACGACATACTCTTAGTCTGCAGAACGAGAGAACTGTCCGGAACCCTTGGAAGGCAAAAGAGCTACTTATCTGCAGGGCGATTTTGGACCAGTTGGGGCATGCGACGGGACCTGGATCCCTTTACTGCCCCTGTTTCCAAGATCATGAACTTCCTCTCGTCAACCTTCAAAGAAGGTAAGTCGTCATCGATCTATCCGTTCTTCACCTGGGACCCCCAACTGTGTGTGGTCAAGGCTTGGCGGGAATATGTGATGGCAGCGGAGATGTTACACCCACCGACAGACCGACAGCTATGGGTGTCATATGTTAACCAGTGAACCGACGTTCCAGACATTCTATTTCTGTCCGTCGTCCAACACTGCATTCGCTCTTCTACCTAAGCGTTAAAATTGCAAAATATGAAGCCTCCTGTCATGTTGTAAAATTGAAGATTATGCTAGCGCAGTGTACTAATAATCTTAATTTTAATAATGACAGGAGGCGAATATTTTCCCCCCCTTTTCAACTTGACGATCCCACCCTAATCTGAGGTAAATTAGAATTAATGGGTACTAGTCTAATTCTAAAGATTAAACATTTATATTGGTATGAACTATGGTTTGGATTGCTGATGTTAATATCATTGTGGATTGACTCTATATGATAACATTTATGGTTAGTCAGATTAGTCATTATAAGGATAGATATATATACATATATATATATATATATATATATATATCTCAAGCGATAAACTGGAGCACTCAAAAGGACTTCTCTATAATGTATTTGTGAAAAAAGTTTACAGCAAAGTGTAAAACATCTTAATCGACGTTTCGACCCCTCAGGATCTTTTTCAAGATCAATTAACTGGTGAAATAAACACAGTTTAAATATAAAAGAGAGAAATTTACTCACCAATCTCGTGTATGCGGCTACCCACTCAAACCCGGAAGTGTCACGGAAACCCACGTGGTTTCCCCGGCGTGCGTCTACACGTACACCTCCTCTAGAGCTGGGAGGGACATGGTCGATGGCTATAAATCTCAGTGTAGGAAGTCTGTGTGTTGCTTGAAGAAAATGTTTCGCAACCAGTTTATCTGATTTATGGTCTCTGAAGGCAGTGGTGATAGTCGATCTATGACCTCGGATCCGATCCCGAAGAGTGAGGTCTGTTTTCCCCACATATGAAAGACCGCAGGGACAGGTAATTAAATATACCACATGATCAGTCTTACATGTGATGTAATTGGAATCCGAATTCCACTATGTGGATGGGCAAATGAGGTACCTGTATTCATGTGGCTGCAGGTCACGCAGCCACTGCATCTATAACACCCTTTCTTGCTAAGTCCTACGGTTTTGCGGTAACATATGGTGGGGTCACTTCTGATCAATAGGTGCCTTAAATTCCTATTCCGTTTTAGGCTGATTGTAGGTTTTTGATGAAAAATGGATGGTAGATTTTTATCTGAACACAAAATACCCCAGTATTTGTTCATAGCCCGTTGAATTTGTGAGGTGCCTGTATGAAAGGTTAGAGGTAAATACATTCTGGCCGCTTGTGGTGTCTTTTGTGCAACCTCTGTAGAGTCACATATCATATGTTTCATAGCTTTGTCTTTTGCTTTCAGTAACACGTCAAGATTATATCCTCTCGCGAGGAATCTATCAGTCATCTCTTGAAGTTGTTTCTCTCGATTCGCCGGGTCACTGTTATATCTCAATACACGCATGTATTGGGATACAGGGAGTGATTCTTTCAGCTTCTGTGGATGATAGCTGTTAAACTGGAGTAGAGTATTCCTTGCAGTATCCTTGCGGTATAGAGTATACCCCAACCTGCCTTTATCTTTATAGATGGAAACATCTAAAAATTGAATTTCATGAATGTCAAAAGTAAGTGTCAGTTTTACTGGAAGCGTCGATGAATTCAGGTCGTTAATCATTTGTTCCAGAATGCTGCTGGTTCCTGTCCAAATCAAAAAAATATCATCCACAAAGCGATGATACGTGAGTATGTTTTCTCGATATTTTTCCAGGATATAATGGGTCTCAAAAATGAACATATAGGCGTTGGCATATGAGGGTGCCATAGCCGCCCCCATTGAAGTACCTGTCAATTGTAAATAAAAATAGTCTTCGAACTTAAAATAATTGCACGTAAGAGCTATCTGTAAGAGCTCCATGAGAAATTCAATGGGTGGACCACAATATATACACACACACACATACACTCATACTTATGTTTTCATACTGTCGGTTCCGTATCACTGATACTAGTCTCTTTCAGTTTAACAAGTGTTATGGATTACTAGGATGACTCATTCCATTATCGGTTTCAAGTTGGATCAAGCTGGATCGGACATGTTATTTGTTACATTATTGACTTGTGATGTCGCATTAGTCAAGAGGAAATTATTGGTCATGCTTGGACTTATATATACTCTGACTCGCCCTATTGACCCAGAGGACCGTAGTAGGTGCGACCACCTCTCAGGGGCATTGAGCCCTCTGACGTTATTGGTCCACAGGCGCAGCGGGACGGAACCTCCCACCTCCCGACGTGCCCTCTGGCCGCACCATCCTGGCGGGGGGGTGGGGGGGAGGGAGGAGGATTGGAGGGGAAGGGTGGGACAAGACTAGTCCGTCAAGTGACAAGGTCGTCTGTGGTCAGGATTGGGTTAAGTACTTCGTTCATGTCCGATGTCAAGTTGTGTAGGGACTTGACTGTCTGTGGAGGGTACCAGGGGTGAGTCCCCCGCCCAATACGTGACACCACCTCCTGTGTCCCTCCGCACTGCCTCCCACAGTCTATCCGCGGGGGTCGCGCGCAGAATCCGCGTCTGAAGTCGGTCTGTCTCTCTGTGTGTGCGAGGTACGATGTGTCTCGTCTCTGTCGCCCTGTACCCGCCCCGGGCAACTAAGTGTCTGCATGAACCAGGTATAATGCGAACTATTTACATTTCAACTACCGCCAGCTCCCCGGCCACCAGGGGTCTCCCCGCCCAGGCATCCCCTCGTCATCAAAGCCTCGGACCCTGCGGCATCTCGGGGCCCCCCCAAGGTAGGGCGTCCTATTCTTCAGCCTTGGCGGGTCCTCCACCACAGCCGCGCCGGAGGCTCTCTTGCCTGAGTGGGCGTCACGGTCGGCGGGTCGCCCTCTTGGAGCCAGCAGGGTCTCCAAGAGCCAGTTCCGGATGTGCACTGGGGGGATGCGAAGGGTCCTCAGCAGCGGTGGCACGTCATCTGGCCAACGGATCTGCAGCCACGTGCCGCCGTGTCTCACCTGGAGGCTAAAGGTGTCTCACCTGTATAAGATGTTTCTATCTCTGAGCGCCACGGTGATCGGTCTGAGTGCACGTCTTGCATCCAAAGTGAGGCTGGACAGGTCCTGAAAAAGGGCTACCTCCGCACCTTGGAACGTGATCGTGTTCGTCCCTCTGGTGGCGGTTATCAGCTGGTCTTTGAGGCTATAGGCATGGAGGCAGCAGAGGGCGTCTCTCTGCTTCCCGTCCTGTCTCTGGGGTCCCAGAGCCCTGTGTATCCTGTCAAAGTGGAGGTCCGTGGGGCATCTCTCACCCAGGATCTGCCTGAAGAGGGCTCTCACGGTCTCCTGGAGAGGTGTGGAGTCCGGCTCCGGCAGGCCGCAGATCATAATATTTTGGCGGCGGGTACGGTTTTCTAAGTCTTCCACCTGGCGGCGCAGGGTCAGGAGGAGGTTACCCTGGCGGGTGGTCGCGAGCTTGGCGGCTCGGTGCCGATTTCGGTATGCCTGTGTTTCTGTCTCCAGCGCATCCACCCTCACCTCCACCGCCGCCAGGTCTGTGCGCAAAGCGGAGATTTCTTCCCTCACCGCCGTCCTAAACTCATGCAGCAGGTTGCCGGTGTCTGCCTTGGTCAGCATCTGGGCAGAGATCTGTGCCAGCTCCTGCCTAATTATGGTGAGTGCTTCTCCCCCCTCACTTCCCTCCATAGACTCTCCCGCGCTGGGGGAGGTCGGCGCCATCTTGCCTTCATGTCCGGCACCTCGCAGCTCCGCCGGAGTGGAGAGGAAGTCATCCAGGGTGCCCGTGGGTCTGTGCGGTGAGCGCTGCTGCGGCGTGCCTGGAAGCTGGGGTCTCTTATTCCAGACCATGATTGTGCCAGGTGACTGCTAATTGTTGCGGTTTAGCCGCTCGCGGCGAGGAGCTCAGACTCTACCCGTCAGTCTCCATGCACGGTCCGCCACGCCCCACCAATACATATTTAATGCATTTTATAGATTTTTGCTTCATTAATAATCTATATTTAATACCCTAGATCTTTTTTTTCACAAAAATTAATGTTTTGCAGAATGCTGCACCATAAGCCTGCCTCCTTCGCCACGCCCCCTGGTTTCAGAAAGACTTCCTTATCAATGTATGTACACAGTCTGAGCTGCTTCTAATTCCCAACCTGGCTGGAGAGTCAGAGAATCTATAAACAGGGAGTGATATCCTTACTGTATACCTCCCTGGGAGTCCTCTACATCTAATGCAGGTCTGTGGCGGACCTGTGTACATACATTGATAAGGAAGACTGCTTCTGGAGTGAGGGGGCATGGTCAGGTTTATAGTGCAACATTCTGTAAAAAAAAAAAAAAGGTGTTTACTTTATGTAAAAACTATAAAGATTTGAGCATGCAAAAAAAAAAAAAAAGGGATAGTAATGAGGCCCAAACCAAATACATTAAAGTAGTATTTGTGCGAAGAGGCCCATAAAGGTTAAAATTGGACTATCTGTATCTATTGTATCTAGCCTAACAATCCCGCTGCCTCCTGGGTAACTGGATGTGACATGCAGCCGATTGCTGGTAATAATATAAAATGATATCCAATGCATACACTATAACCCACTATGAGAATATCATAAAACAACACACGCCCATGGCATTAAACTCTGTGTTGTTGTCACGGGGCTCTGTGGTTAGGGAAGGGATACTTGTGATTATTGTTGACGCAGAACGTACAGAAAGGAAGGAAAACTCTGGGAGTAAGATACCGGCTCCATAAAGCTCCCAGAGGCAGTCAGACTGGTTGTGCAGCTGTTAATAACTGGATGCTAGCAGGAACCTGAGACAAGCACACAAAGAGTTAATAGACAACAGAAAGAGACACAGGGTGCACTCATCCTACTGTCAACAAAAGGTTACAGCAGCCACTAAACTTATGTTAAAGAGTTTTTTAAAGAATATTTTGTGTGTGGTGGGTAGATACATGGGCTGTCTTGGCATAGTTCCCGGTGAGATGGCAGTATTTATTGTCTAGTCATATTACAGTTACCCTAAATATTGAAAGAGGAACAATATCCCTAAAACCTAAGTAAAAGATAGTTTCAGCATTGAGACAATTTTACAAACTGGTAAACGTGTTTGCAGAAATTAAGAAATGTTCCTTCTCCCTTTACCCCGACAATCTTTAAAACGAGCAACCAACCTGTCTAGACACTTTCAGGAGAGCTGTGAGACCCCCCTAAAGCAGTAAGATCCACCTGAATGAGAGACCCCCTAAAGCAGTATAACCCCCTGAGAGACACCCCCTCCCAATGCAGTACGATCCCCCCTGAGACTACCCAATGCAGTACGATCCCCCCTGAGACTCTACCCAATGCAGTACGATCCCCCTGAGAGCCCCCCCAATGCAGTACGATCCCCCTGAGAGCCCCCCCAATCCAGTACGATCCCCAAGACCTCCCCAATGCAGTACGATCCCCCTGAGAGACCCCCTAAAGCAGTACAATCCCACCTGAATGAAAGACCCCCTAAAGCAGTAAGATCCACCTGAGAGACCCCCTAAAGCAGTACGATCCACCTGAGAGACCCCCTAAAGCAGTACGATCCACCTGAGAGACCCCCTAAAGCAGTACAATCCCACCTGAATAAGAGACCCCCTAAAGCAGTACGATCCCCCTGAGAGCCCCTCCAACGGAGTACGATCCCCCTGAGACCTCCCCAACGCAGTACAATCCCCCTGAGACCTCCCCAACGCAGTACGATCCCCCTGAGACCTCCCCAACGCAGTCCCCGAGACCTCCCCAACGCAATACGATCCCCCTGAGACCTCCCCAACGCAGTACGATCCCCCTGAGACCTCCCCAACGCAGTACGATCCCCGAGACCCCCTAAAGCAGTACAATCCCACCTGAAAGACCCCCTAAAGCAGTACGATCCACCTGAGAGACCCCCTAAAGCAGTACAATCCCACCTGAAAGAGAGACCCCCTAAAGCAGTACGATCCACCTAAAGCAGTACAACTGCCTAAAAATATAAAATTGGAAAAAAACAACAATGTGCTCTACATGAGACGAGCAGAGTTGGACCTGATCCAATAGAACATTTATATAAATACAAGTTTTGCGATATTCATATTAACATTCACACATGTTGGCAAGTGGAGAGTTTTTGCAGCATAAAGTTGAGCCCTCTTGTCAAGCAGCCGATGTGATATTAAACTCTCCTTATACCGTTATGGGGTTCGGACAATCTCCACAAAGCCAGGACTACAAAGCTACACTACTCCAACCATGCGGAATTCTTTTTAAACCAAGGGGGGGAAAAAAACGAAATATAGGTTTGCTTTAATTCTATTTCAACAAATTTAGCAACATGCACCCCCCATTCAGGACAGAGGACGTGCCAGATTTATTAAGGTATGAAGCCTCTATTTAGAGAGTTAAACATTTAACTCTAATCTGTGGGTTTGGGTGGAGACTTTGTCAGTACATCTAATTTGCCAGCGTTGCTGTTATTACAGGCGTTTATATAGCGCCAACAGATTCCGTAGCGGGATTAATGGGGTCTATTTCTAAGAGAGAATACATAAATCAGCCAGTGAATAAAACATATCTTGTTTTAAGATGGTAAAAAAAAAAAAATATACCAGAAATGTAGGCATTCTGGCTACAAGGGGGAAGATTTTTAAGTCTGTCGGCAGCATGCAGTGTGTGTGTTTATAAGATGTAAAATATGCATAGAACGGAGGGTATGAGGTCCAGATCAGAATTCTAGGCTGCCTAAATCCAGTTTGCTGGGGGTGCAACTTGCACCAACACACAATTACAAATAACTCTGCATATTCAGACTCCCAAACCACTGCAGTGGTCATGGTGGATGGAGTAACCGTTTAATGTGGTTTTAATGCACTGTACAGATTTGTTTTATTAAAAGCTAGTTTATGTTGTACTTTGTAGACTGTTTTCTAAGCTCCAAGTTTTAGCAATTGTCAACTTGATAGAAACTTCAAATGACAGAGAAACCATTCGTGATTATAATGCATTTGATTGACAAGTATACTTTAAGTGTGTCATAAAGAAAGATTAGAAGAAAGGAGATATTTTGCTGCAGAAGCAGATCCATTGATAGTAAATTTGTTTCTCTGTGAAGTATGGGTAAACAGATTATAATTTCAGAGAAGGTACCAGAGCAGTGTCCCAGAATTATGCCAGATATTTGGAGTTCACATGCGGTATGGGGAACAGCTGGGAGAGGGGAGAAGCACAAGGAAGGGGGTCCTGGGAACGCCATTGGAAAGGTCTGATCACCACACACAGTTCGGCGGGGTGGAGTATGGTCACTGCCATGATTAACCCACCCCTTGCTATTGGACTGGGGACCTTCTACTGTTGGAGCCTGGAAAGCAATTGAGCATATTTTTTACATTGTAAAAAACGTCAATCATACTCAGCCGGCACACTGCTGCGTATTGGTTATTGTGACAGGCTCAGTTTCCAAATGCCAGCACACTCAGCCTTCCTCATTAACCCTACAAACTGCAGGGCATACCCCTGGAGATGTTATCTGTGCCCCTAGTGCCCTAGAGCCAAGTGATGCCATGTATTGCACCAATCTTGTGTGGCACAGAACAAACCATCAGAGGATCACACCCTCATCATGTTTAATTCACCAGCTGTGAGCGAGCTGGGCTCACACAGGGAGTTACACCCACTACAAAGCAAAACAATGCAGCTCTGTTTTATAATGACCTTATCCCGTCACAATCAGGTACAGTCCCACCACCTGCTGCAGCATGAAACATGACCGCTTTATGAAACTAGCATTGTGTGAAGTTTATTTTAGATGTATACCACTAATATTAAAAAATGAGTATATACAGTAGAATTTTTTTCTAACCCCTCCTGAGTGGTATATATAGTCCTCATTCTAGGGTCCTCTACAAGAGGCCTGGGAGTCTGAGGGTTCCACGCAGTATCTTAGCTGTTCCTAGAACAGCACTTCTCTGGACAACGATCTCAGATGTTCCACCTGGAACACTGTCCCTAAATGTCCTATCAAAACTAGGACTACTACTGCCTTCACTTTGAACATCCTTTCTAGCTCTTTTTTCAGTCCTTGGTATTTCTCCATTCTCTCATGTTCCTTCTTCCTGATGTTATAGTCACTTGGCATTGCCACATGCGCCACCACTGTAGTCTTTCGTTCCTTGTCTATCATCACTAGGTCAGGCTGGTTGGCCAATACTTGTCGGTCTGGATCTGCAAGTCCTACAGGATCTTAGAACTGTCCTCCTCAACAATCCTTTGTGGAATCTCCCACCTGGACTTAGTCAGGTCCAATCCATATACAGATGTTTTGGTACACAATCCCAGCACTTGGTTGCAGGGCTGTATTTGCCGCGAGGCAAACAAGGTATTTGCCTAATGCACCACTTTCAGGAAAGCGGCAAAAAACGCCCCCCTAAGTGCACAGGCAAGTGCAAGTCAGCAAGCGAGCGTGCCGGTGTCAGCGAGCGACAGGCTATAGACACCAGAAACTGTACATTCAGCTGTAGTGGTTCTGGTGACTCTAGTGTCCTATTAAAGCGAACACATTAAGCCCTCCCAGTAGGAAAGCATTGCCTCGATGTTTTCTTACGTGGATTTCAATGAATCTAGATGTCCTCATGCACAGCATTATGACGTCCAGTGTTATTTAGGTGACCTAGAGCCTTAACATTCATAAAGTTCCTCTAGTGGCTCTCTAACTGATTTAGG